GACGCATGGTCAAGGGACCCTGGCGTCACATTTTTGACGCACGGGGTATACCTTCGGCTTCATTTTTCAACGTGCGGGGCAGTCCAATAGACTTCTATAGAACTCAGCAGCGTTGAAATTTGACGTCTTGGGTCGATCACCACACCGCAACCCGTTGTCTGCCTTGTGGATCGAGAAAACAATAAGTAAAAATAAAAAGGAATAGCCTACGCTACAAAAAATAATCTATGCCAGGGCGATTCAAATGCCCTCCAACTGGTGTTTGGTGTTTTAAAACCCTCGCAATCAGATATCAAAGGGCCCTCAAAAGTTTCGCGCGTTCATCAGCGGTGAGTTTAACAACGCTTATGGTGTGCAACCACATTCAGCGGTGAGTTTAACAACACCCAACTGCAGGTAAAGCGGCATTCAGAGGTGAGTTTGACAAAAGCAACGCACAACTGCAGGTAAAACTTAATTAAAAGGTGAGTTTAACGCTCCAATGTGCGTGCAAGTCTGCCGTTTAAACGTTTCCTTTTCATTAAGACACTGCTTTATCTAGAGCATGCTGGATAACGTATTTTTATCGGAGGTTTGTTGATTTGAATATGCTACGACTGTGTTCTATTCATCGGTTTTTAAAAATTATTATTTTTACTAAATCCTCTAAATTAATAACGCTGACGTCACCGACTGGGAGATCCCAAGGTCCATTGCGATTTTCCACGCGGTAAGTAGAAGGGTTCATTAATTACTTATACAATTTACTTATCAAATTTACTAATTTACTTATTAATTTACTTATCAAAAACGGTTGGATCAGGACAAGAAATTGTGTTCAGAAACTTTAGATTTGTAAGGTGGCCCTTTCTTATGACGAGAAATGATAGAATACATTATAAAAAAAATATAGCTTTCTGCACCAAATGTGCAGGCTAGCAAAGTTAGCTAGCTTAATTTAATTCAAGTTCATTTTTGTCGCATATTATCATGTAAGGTACAATCATAGGGGAATGTAAGATTTTCAGATTTTTATTACATAACAGCCCTCAACTATCCAACATTATGTTCAGAATGAAGAACGGTGTTGCCAGATTGGTTTGTTTCACAGCCTAATTGTTAAAAATCCATTGTATTAACAATACAAATTAATTACTACATTGTATCTCATCAACATTTTTCAATATGAAATAATAATAATTCATATATACATAAATAATGTAATAAGTAATCCTGTCATAAATGATTGACTGATTCATATATATATATATATATATATATAGTAGCTTCCAAAATAGGTGCACTCCAAAGTGCACTGTAGAAAAGTCATGGCATAGAGACTGATATAAGTGCATGGTTATTGTTGCAGTTGCAGTGACACTAAATTAGCTAACAGTTAACCTTAAAGTTAACTGCTCAATCGTTCTCATTGTTTTGGTAGAAAGCAATTATGCCAAAAAGTTGTGTTGTGTTTGTTTACACTGTCTTAAGTGCACTCTAGAAAATGTGTGTGTGTGTGTGTGTGTGTGTGTTGTAGATTTCAAAATGTCTCGAAAGAAGTTCAGGCCTTGCCCCTCCTGCCAAGCACCTAACCAGGTCAGGGAAAGTCGAATAGAGCATTATGTCCAATATTCAAATATGTTGTTTTAAATGTTATACATTTCTCTTTATTAGGGTCAATTGGACACTAAAGTATACTCCTACTAAACGACCCTGTATGATAAGTGTTCTGTGTTACAAAACAGTGATAATTTAAGGCATCTGGTTGATATCAATTTTGATTGCTTGTTTTGCGCCAAATGCCATAGGCAACATTGATTTAGCCTGGGTGTCTCCTACATCTGCCACTTTCACTATATGAAAATAATAATAATAATAATCCTGTGTCAATCTAGAGATGCATATTCTGAATTGCATTGTGCTTTGTGTGTTCCTCTCTTTCCTGTATACAAATCAAACTGTATTGATTCTACTTCTTCTCTGTGACTATGGATCTGATGTCTCACTTTGGTATACTTTTACTAACACAGGTGAGCCGCAAAACCTGCAGCTCTTGTTTCGCAGCCATCTCCCAAAAAAAGAAAATAGCGGCCAAAAAAGTGACCCTGGACAGGAAGTGGGGGGAAAGGGTCCTAAAAAACAGAAATGCGGGAAGAGTGGTGGACTCTGCCCATATTGCAGTAAGTAGAAATGCTCATATTTCATTTAGCAATATGATTTGTTTCACTTTCATTAATATTTTGTGATAGGGCAAGGGCCTCATTTTACAAAAATTAAGTTTAATTTATCATTGAATGAATTTGAGGTTGTCATAGAATGCATTGGTGTAACATATTATTTTAATTAATTTGTAATTTGCTTGACATGCATAGAATAGACTCTCTTTTTGACCAGGCGTTCATGTACATTTGTTTACATATACAACCGGCTACATGGCAAATATAACTTTGCTTTTAGTACCACCAGAGACTATTTATATAGAGACATGCCACTTCCTCAATCCTTAATACAAAATGTATAGGGAAAACCTGTAACACCAAAGATGGCGGTTGTATGCAGATGCCCCGCCCCTCCCGCTGGACAGCCAATCATCTGCTTTTAACGGTCAAGCTGGGAAACATTTAAATACGTAACTGTTTGAAAAGGCGGCAGATTAGATATGCAGGGTATGTGTGTGTTGTGTAAATATTAGACATCCCAAGTCTCCCAGAAGTTCCGGGTGTCTCCCGCAGATTGATAGAGGCTCGCTGATGCCCGCAAATTACTTCAAATCTCCCGGAATCTAGAGCGAACGAGCAAGAGCGCACACATACTGTGTTTCAAACTGTGCAGCGCGCGCGTGACAGAGAGTGAGAGAACCCTTGCGCATGCGCAGTAAAAGTATAACCAGTGGGAAAACAGCGTTTAAACCTTATTTTGGGGCAAAGTCATCAAACTTTTTCAGCGATTTTTATTATATTTTACTGCTGTTTCTATACATGCAGTGTTTATGTCCCGGTGACCAGTGAAAGTGCAGTTCTGAGTCTCTGCCCATTCATTTAGATAGAGCCTGGTCTTGTTAAGTCCGAAATAGCTGCCCGGAGGCGTTGCCAAGATGGCGGCCGAATGGCACGACTTGCCTAAAAGGACTTTGGTACCACACAGGTACTTCAGTATGCGTGTTACTGAAGTTTCTGTCTCTGCTAAAGGCAGATCACAGAATTCAGACCCAGAGTCACTATTAAAGACAGTCTTGCATGATTATGTAAGTAGATAACATGCTCCTACCTTGCACTACCACCTCTAGCATGTAAATATTGCATCACACACTTATAGTGGATAGGTGGCCATAAAGAGGTAGTCCAGTCAAAATGTATTTTTATCATATTTTGTTTTGTGTGTGTCCAATCAATATATTTATTTTTGAAGGGTGTCAGGACTGTTCCTGGTCCTGGTCAGGTGTTCCCTTTAGAATCCCAGATTGCTAACTATTTGACCACCAGCATCCAGCACAGCACTAGATGAATATTGATTGTATAGAGCAGGGGTTCTCAAACTGTTTGTGCTAAGGAGCCTTTGTATGGGAGAACAATTTCCAAGGACCCCCTCATAATCAAAACAATTAAGTATATGCTTGCTTTGGATTTTGAATCACTTAATGATGTGGACTGACTCAAACATTTATCCATGTTCAACAGCTATCTTAATGGCAAATAAGCCAAGCTAAGCAGCAGGAAGAATGGTTCATCATGACCTGAGTGAAGTAATTCAAGTTATTCACAACAGATTGACTTGATTAATCATAAACACAAAAAAGTTCAATGTTAATGATTTAATTTATTAGTGCATTCATTATCAAGATTTTATATGTAGATTATGTACATTCTAGGTCATTACATTGTCATTGATAAGCATTTTTTAACGATTAAGCACAACTTTCTCATTCGAAGCAAATCCACTTTGAGAACCACTGGAATAGAGTACATATTTCACAAGTTCACACTTACATCAATTTAACAGAGTAAAGATTATGAGTATTTGGCATGCGGTCCGGGGGATGTCTCCGAGCTCAGGATTTTTGCCTGAACCCAGAGTACTTCCCCCATTGTTATAAAAGTATTTAGGCCTAGAAGTGAGGAGATGGGGTGGTGGAGCGTTGCTGTCAAACTGTCAACGGACAGTGGTAAGCTTGTTGTTATAAATTCACCTCTTAACTCGTTGATTGGATTGATTAGCATAGTTTGCTCTACTCGTGTCTAAGTAGGTTCAATTATCTGAACGTGCTCCTCCCGAACTTTGTTAATAAAACATCATGTAATGTTGTTTCTAAGGAGAAAAGCTGTTATGGTTGGTCATGTAAGTTTTGTGCCTAACCTATATATTAGAAACAGTAGCACTAATGTATTTAATGCATTTTTTTTTCCAATTGGGTGGAAAGTAATGCAGTGGGAATAACTAATGTTTGCTGTCTGCATTTATTTATTACAGGTGAAAAAACTAAGTGCATTGGGCTATGTCCCAATTCTATTTTTGGCAAAGAAAGATAAGGCCTCTGGAAAGTGGGTGTCTGATGTGGTGACCCATCTGCTACCCACTGAGGACAACCTAAAAATTGTGGCCACCATGAGAAAGGCCTACAATTTTGTATTGATCAAAGAAGGTAGGTTTTGTGTAATTTAAGTCATGCCTGTTTTTTTATGGTGGTGAAATATTGAAAATTAACATACTCATGCAATATTGTAGGGAACTCCACGACGGCGTTGCCGGATCCACACCCTCAGGCCCAGCCCGCCCAGCCGGATCCACACCCTCAGGCCCAGCCCGTCCAGCCCGATCCACACCCTCAGGCCCAGCCCGCCCAGCCCGATCCACACCCTCAGGCCCAGCCCGCCCAGCCGGATCCACACCCTCAGGCCCAGCCCGTCCAGCCCGATCCACACCCTCAGGCCCAGCCCGCCCAGCCCGATCCACACCCTCAGGCCCAGCCCGTCCAGCCCGATCCACACCCTCAGGCCCAGCCCGTCCAGCCCGATCCACACCCTCAGGCCCAGCCCGATCCACACCCTCAGGCCCAGCCCGATCCACACCCTCAGGCCCAGCCCGATCCACACCCTCAGGCCCAGCCCGTCCAGCCCGATCCACACCCTCAGGCCCAGCCCGATCCACACCCTCAGGCCCAGCCCGATCCACACCCTCAGGCCCAGCCCGATCCACACCCTCAGGCCCAGCCCGTCCAGCCCGATCCACACCCTCAGGCCCAGCCCGATCCACACCCTCAGGCCCAGCCCGCCCAGCCCGATCCAAACCCTCAGGCCCAGGAAAAGGAGATATTTTATATTTTAGATTTACACCCTGTCTCTCTCCCTGTGAAGGAACAACCCCCCCCCAAAAAAAGAAAGTGTAAGTTAACTGTGGTCTTAGCACGCTGTGTATGAATTTCTCCTTTTTGTAATCATAATTCATGAAATACAGAAATCTTTAGGTGTATTTAAGTGCAGTCAATTACCGTAGTTAATAGTGAGTAATTTTCAGTGGCCAGTCTGATACTCAAAGGAGTTTGTCCTCGCATGCATACCTTTCAGTACTGAACACGCACACTCTAGGAGTTAAGCAATGAGAGATGAGTACACACACACTCATGCACACATCAGTGGGAAGCCCAGGTAGCCCCCCCCCCCCCCCCCCATCACTGTTCACAATCTGCTTCAATAATATTTAGGCCCAGACAGTAGGATAATTAGGCTAAATTTCGGCTATGAAATCACTGAATCTATTGGCTTAAGAGCACTTCATTCCAGGAACTATAACGATAGAAGCGTCCAGACAGACTGACCAGCTATAAGCAAATTCTCACCTTGTGTTAATAAATGTGATGGCTAAGATGTGATAGGTTCTTATTGGTTGTTAGCTCTTCTTTTTATTGTTCTCAAAATTGCTTTAAAAGCCATCCCCAACAATATTGTTTCAATCTCGTTATAGTTTAACATATTAACGAGAAGAACAATATTTTTTTTATATAGTTATCATTTTTGGTGTGAATGGCCCTTTATATGTGTATTCTTCAGTTATTTAGCTGTATTTTCTGACGTTTTTAAAGTTCAAGGACAATGCTTAAAAGATGTTCCCCAGGTTTTATGAAAGTTTAACTTTAAGTTTAATTTCAAGGTTTTTTTTTTTTTTTTACATTTATGGTTAATTAATATTATTATTATTATTGTCATTTTAAGGTTGCCGGAAATGTAGTAGGCAAAAGGTTTTCAAATATGACTCCATAACAGGACGAAGGATAAATGAGGTAAGAAATATATTTTTCATTAGGCTGTCTGATCATCTCTCCATTGTCTGTGGCTCATCTGGCATTTCAAATATCACAAAATACTGACCATTAAAGCATTGGTAATTTGAGTCCATTTAAGTTCAACTGAAGGCCAAGTGGCTTTGCCCCAAAAATTATGAAATTCAAAACCTGATTATATATTTTTTTGTCTTTCTTTAGGGGCAAGAGGAAGTAAGGGTGAAATGGTTACCTTGCTCTGCATGGTAAGTACTGCTTTATATTGGTTTATATTGCCTTCATACATGTACTCTGTTTCCACTTTTTACCATCTCATAGGTAGTGGATAAAGGTTGAAATTTATATTGTAGCACAAAGTTTTGCAACCAAAAAGAAGCGTTGAGAGAATTGTCATGTCCACTAGGTTTAAGGTCCAGTGTCAATGCAGCCTTCTACCTGGAGATTTTAGAGCATGGTTACATCTGCTGACGAGCTTTACGTACATGCTGATATCCTTTTCCAGCAGGACTCTCTAGGTTGAAAACCGTCAATGCAAGTGAATGAGAGAAAATAATTATTTTCTGATCCCGTTTGAATTGTGCCATGAATGTGAACATATGTTGTCTGTGAATTTTTTATATAATTTCTCATGTAACGAGTTTGACACTATATTGTATGATTCTTTAGCTAGCAGTTGTGGAATAGACATTACCAGAAAGACTACACATCGCATATGTGACGTCACCGCATAACACATTTTCCCTCCACAAATCACGGTGCGATAATCTAAGGAATTAGATTGAGGTGTCTGTGTGTTTTGTACCCAAATGTCACCATTCAAACAATGGTTTGTTTAGCGGGATCTGTGTGCTAGTGGGGGTGACGTATATCAAACGCGTCGAAAGCAGGAAGAGTTGTAGTCCACAAAGTGCTCTCACACAAAGTCTAACCGTATGAAAATTCTACCCGCTAAATTGTAGCATTCTTTACACGAAACATTATATAAAAAATTTACAGACAACATATGTTCACATATGGCAGGACTTACCAGCTCTATAGAGATGACAATGATAGAAACCAAACCCAACATTACATACAACTTCAAGGTCACTATCAAAGCAACACACCTCAGCAATGCCATACACTGATGGCCTCCACACCACACAACACTGATGCAGTAATTTGTGTAAAAGCAGCCACACCAAGTATATAGTGTATGCATTAACAATTTTTGATAAGTCAGATTTGTTGATTTATTTTCGAAAGGTCGACATTTCTGTATTCCTCTTTATTATAATGTAGTAAGTTAATTGATTTATTTTTTTTGGTTTTCATGAGCTGTAATCAAGATTAAATCAACAAAAATTGCTTCAAATGTTGCACAATATTGTAATTGTAGACCCATAGGGTGGATTAAATGCAGCGTCAAATATTGTCTCTTTTCAGTACTATCTATAATTCCCCTGGTGTAATATGTCTATGTAGGAAGTAGACCTTCACCAATATATTGGCAGAACATCAGTATTGGCCAAGATCATCCTTGTTGACTGATGTCAGCTATTGACTTTCTATGACTTTATCTATGAGAGTGGCTGATGTTTATCTGTTACATTTCATCAAGCACTATTTGTATAGGTTTTATAAAAACAATGAAATATAAGACCGCACAATATTTTTAGAAAATGTTTATGATATGAAACTATTGTTAAAATGGCTCCTGTTTTTCACTGTTCTAATGTTTTTTTTTACTGATACTTTCAGTGGAAAAATCTGGGAGGAAACATGGGAGCCGGCCTGCCAGTTCTCACCAGGTGCCAACCATGTGTAATGTCACACATTGGTCTGTAATTCAATGAGTTGAACCTGCTATGAGATGTAAAGTTTGCCGTTTTGGGCCCAGCCATCCTGCTTGCGGATGTGACTTACACACGTTCAATGGTTTCCACCCTAACATGCTGTCATGCTGTTTTTTTTTTTTTTTTTTGTTTTTTTTTTTTTTGTTTTTTAATTATTATTGATTTTTGTTAAAAGCTGTGTTCAAATAAATCGATACCTTTATCTCTGTTTGTCTTTCTATTCACCTTGTGGTTTAGCCAATCATCTGAAGTCTTCAATGCATCAAATGATATATTGTAATGTGATGCACAAAGTATGTAGGAAGGTGGGACATGTTTTCATTCATATTAATTGACACCATTAAGGAACCGTTGATTCCACCAGCTAAACCATACATTTTCTGGATAACGGGTAGCTGAGGTAGGCAGGGGTGGATAAATGAACAGGCCCACCAGGACCAGAGGTCAAGAGGATCCAGAAGCCTCAAAAAAATTGAAAGCATGCTTTCTAATTCAGGAAGTTTTCTAAAGGCAAGGCACATGAAACCCTGGCTGCTGCACTGGCCTTCCATTGACCATGATGCTCTGTGTATTCAAGTCTACAACGGATAGGTAAAAGCAGAAGACTATATATATATATATATATATATATATATATATATTATTACATTACTTTTGTTATTTCAGTCTATATTTTTAAAACTGTCAATATTCATTTAGAAGTTATCATTGTATTTATTTATGTTAATATTTCGCTCTTATTAAAATTGAAATATTACAGTATGCTGTAATACAAAACATGATCCGAGCTATGATGCGGGCATTCATTCACAGAATCGGACAGCGATCAGCACACGACAGTATCGCTTTAATGTATAATATACAATCATTGGTTGTCACCAGCAACAACATGTTGGTCAGCTTTGTTCCAGCCGTAATACCAGAGAAAGGACTTTGTTAAACCGATTACCGACCGAAGACTCTGGAAGTGACGTGGTAGATGACGGTAAAAAAAATACATTTGTGCAAAATTAACTTAATTTGTTTAATATATGCTTTTTTTTTAAATGTTCTAGATTTTTAAGAAATGTGCTTTTGCACTATTGTAAAACATTTCTTGAATAAAAAAGATAGACAAAAACATCACTATTACGAATACTGTGTATTTTTTTTAATCATTGTATTTGAGGATTTAAACAATAAAGATAACAATACTGATAAAATGCACAGTTTAATGTATTTGTCTTATGTATTGTATGCTCGTCGGCCGGCGGCAATCTGAAATGGAATGAAGGCCATTCACGTCCCATTCATAGTGACACAAACATGTCCCCCCACCCCCACCCTGGAATAAACTACACATAAGCACATGCTTTTTAACAGCTTCTGTGGCGCGTCTCCTATGGGAGTTGTAGTTTTAAAGTATATTGGTATATTTCTCACAATTAGAAGTTAAAATTGTAATTTTATATACACCCTGTGTTTTTTTGGGATGGGGAACACACTGGTGTTATCAAATTAAAAAAAAAAATCGTTAAGTAGGTGAGACAGCTTATTTCCATATTTGACAGTGCTTATACTGTGGGTAAACTTTGGTGACCATATCTACATCACTGCAGAGGCCCAGAGCTTTATATATAAATGCTGGTCTTATGTGTTTAGCACTGTTGCTAAATTACAAACCAAGATGGACTGGGTTCAAGGTTCAGAGGTCAATATTTCAAAGCAGGAGTAATGTATACTCTTCAGACTGTAATATGTTAGTCTTCTGGTTGAGACCTTTCCAACGATGTGTTTGCTATAGTCCCAGAACAACATTTTAATTTGTACATAAACATATCATGGTTTACAGATGATCCACTTTGGGCGATAGCCTCCTTTATTGTCCCCAGTGGGATCTTTACATGTAACATGTGACTTATTATTTTATCATAGAGCTGACATATACTTACAAAAACAAACAAACAAACAAACAAACAAACCAAAAACATAAACATAGTTTTTTTTATGTAGTCAGTCTAAAGCACATCACACAACAACAATCTATTGCTCATCTTTCACAAACAGTGACAAGAGCAACACACCACCATTTGCATTACATCATGAAGCTATTACACAACCAGCCAACATTATTTAAAGTTTAAATTGAGGTAGGTACAAATTGTGCTATAGTTTAGAAATGTTAAGTTTAGATTGGGGTACCCACAACTTCTGCCAGATGATAAGAGCTCACTTGGTATGGAGCACATACTGCTTCCAAATCATCAGTTCTCATCCTCCTTTATCTGTCTACTGCCTTCGACACTGTGAACCATCAGATCCTACTGTCCACTCTCTCATCATTGGGCATCACTGGAACTTCCCTCCACTGGTTTGAGTCCTATCTCACAGGTAGGTCCCTCAGGGTCGCATGGAAAGGTGAGGTATCCAAAGCACATCAACTGACCACAGGTGTTCCCCAGGGTTCAGTGCTTGGACCGCTCCTCTTCTCCATTTACACCACATCACAGGACCCATCATACAGGCACATGGTTTCTCATATCATTGCTATGCTGATGACATCCAGCTCTACCTCTCATTTCAACCAGATGATCACACAGTACCTGCATGAATCTCAAGCAGTCTAGCTGATATCTCGTCATGGATGAAGGAACATCACCTGCAGCTCAACCTGGCTAAGACTGAGCTTCTCGTCCTCCCTGCCAATCCATCTCTACAGCACAACTTCACTATCCAGCTAGATTCTTCCTCAATCACCCCATCAAGGTCAGTCAGAAATCTTGGAGTAACCTTTGATGACCAGCTGACCTTCACAGACCACATTTCAAAGACAGCTCGATCATGCAGGTTTGAAATGCATAACATCAGGAAGATCAGGCCTTTCCTAACTGAGCAGGCGATACAGCTTCTCGTTCAGGCCCTGGTCATTTCTAGGCTTGACAGCAATGCTCTTCTGGCTGGACTTCCATCTTGTGCAACTAAACCTCTACAAATGATCCAGAATGCTGCAGCTCATCTTGTCTTCAACGAGCCCAAAGGGGCCCACGTCGCTCCTCTGTTCATCTCCCTGCACTGGCTGACACTCGCTGCTCGCATCAAGTTCAAAGCGTTGACTCTTGTTTACAGACCGAGCACTGGCTTAGCTCCCTCTTACTGTCACTCACTCCTACAAGTCTACACCACCACCAAATCTATGAGTGACGGCTTGTGGTACCATCACAAAGAGCCACAAATTCATTCTCCAGAACATTCTCATTCACGGTTCCATGCTGGTGGAACCCTCCCTGCCCACCCTGATCCGGAATACAGAATCCATGTCAACGTTCGAAAGTCAATTGAAAACTCATCTCTACCGAAAGCGCTCAACAAAAAAATATAAAATAAAAATCCTTTTTTTAAATCCTCACTTGCCTAGTTTATGCTACTCTGAGCAATGTTTGAACTTTGTATTTTGAGTACTTCTTGTGTTGTTCTTGCCTCCTCACAATAACTTTTTTGGTTTAGTCCTACGATGCAAGTCGCTTTGGATAAAAGTGTCAGCTAAATGACAAAATGTGAAATGTAAATGTAAAATGTATGTAGAATAAAGATGGATCATACCACATTCTTTATGCTTGCCTGGAGAGACTGGTTTCTATTCATCTCCACAACCTTCATGACAGTCATATTAAAATAATCTGTAATGCAGCCTTGTGTAAACCCTCTGATTCACTGTGAGGGTTTGCTCTGATAACACCCACTTTCAACACGGGCCTTCCAGCCAATATTGTCCATATACACCCCAAGGCGCCTTTAGGAGCAGAGCTGATGGATTGGTTCAACATTTATGACTTCTAATACCTTCTGACCCATGTCAAGACCCTTTCATCAACTTGTGAAATGGTTGAATGAGATGTGTGAGTTGTGTCTGTATGCTGTAAGCCGAGGAAGAAATGTGCCAAAAATGGCAAAACACGTTGTATACTGTATGTACACTAACCATAACCCATAAATTGAAATTTCAAAAAAAGTAATTAATTTAAATTTTAACACAACTAATAATGCAGTGTGATTTTAAATCAAAGTCTCACCCATAAATATGCTCATGTTTGTTCCACTTTAGTCTCTGCTATTAACATTTACCAACCACAAAATTGCTTTTTTAATAACTATGCATGGAGAACAAAATAAAAAAAATGCTTCTCTTTTTATAGTTTTATTTTATTTTTTGTTTTTCACAACAGTACAACAAATACAAATTAATCAAACAAGCCATTAGGCTGTATTTTTAAACACTCAACTGTAGTTATATATATATATATATATATATATATATATATATATATTGTATATAAGGCAAGTCAAAGTGCTTAGGTCAGGAAATGTAGTTATTAAAGCAAGTCTTGAAGTAATTCAACGACACTTCCCAATTAAACATCAAAATTCAGAAAAAGCAGATGACATCAGTGGAATTATGTTTATTACTAGTAAAATACACATATTTACACCTTCCTGTAAACTTTTCTGCACATAGATTTGTTCTACCATAAACAAAAGAGGACTATTGGAAAAACAGTTACTTAAATTAATTTCAGTTTATATCACTACATTCATTATTATTGTTGCAATGTAACATGTAGATATGATAATCACTTTTATTCAAGCATATCTGACAGTGTTTGCTCTTTGTTGATTTGACTGTGGTTGCCCCCCACAGCAACATTTCTGCCCCACACGGTATCAGAAATAGGGCTGCATTGTTAGTGCATGTCGGAGAATAGCGCGGACACACACTTCACACCGCAAGCAGGCATGCACGTCACTCAGCAGAAAAAGGAAAAAGAGATGCTGTTCGGATAATAAACCAGTTGAGATTGTGTGTGTGTGTATCTCCTTGAGAACCGTAAGTCGTATAACTTGTGTTGTAAGTCCACTTAAGCCTGGTCTTGTAAATTTTAATTAAGTTAAAGCTGCATTCGGCAAGTCTGGCAGATTGAGAGGATTTAGGCAAAATTTAGAATGTTTACAACTCTCATGGCCCTCCCCCACTATCAACGAAATACCCTCCCACTGAGTTTGCGCTCGTCAGTTTGTGTGCACCATATTTTCTGTGAACGCCCCCGTCACATCAGCATCCATCAACGACACTGGAGTATTAGGTATGCTGCCCTGGCTAATCTACTGATCGATTGCAATTTCTAATGTCATATATACTCTAAATGAGCTTACTTAATTTGTTAGTGTCCGAGGAAATGGAATCTTTTCCGCCACCACTCGTCGTTACTGCGCGAACTTCAGGTGTGTGCATGTGATTGTAACGTGCGCGAGGGGTGGTGTGTGCACAACCTGTGATTGACAGTCAGCTCTCACACCCCCTTGCACTGATTGGACCCGATGATCTGGGGACGGTAGATTTTTGCAAAACAAATAACATGCTCCAGAAGGGTAGGTGGAATTAGAAGCTCGTTTTTTTTTTCCCTAAAACCACTTTATTGATGTGGTTCTGTCGGATTATAGTGTCGATTTCACTGAATATGATCAAAAAATGTTAATTAACTGGTGATTTCTTTGGACCTGCCCCACTACCAAAAACAAACAAACAAAGGAAACACTGAAAAATATAAGAAATCAAACCAAAAGTGAATAACTGGTCATTTATCACTTCGCAAGCTCCTCAAACTGACAGGCCTCAATCTGACAGTTCAGAATCACTGTCGTATCCATCCCAATCATTCTGGAAGTCCATACTTGTTCCAGTCAAAACTTGAGTATAGCAGTCTCTTGCATGCTTCATCATTCTGGTGACTTCTTGCTTCTTCCTCAAAGTTAAGCTGAAGAAACCCTTGATCCCTTCTTCATTTAGTGCCCACAGCTCACCTTATGGGAGTAAAACAAAAATTATCAGAAAAAAAATTACAATGTAGAATATAGTTTTACAACACATTACTTAAATACGTACTTTGCAATGCCCCACTGGAAAGCTGGGATGACATCTCCTTGAGTGTGTCTGCACGAGTGGAGAGAGATTTCCAATGCTTTGCCATCTCAGAAAGAACAATCTTCTTCTCCTCCTCAAGTCTCCTTATTGCCATCACAACATCAAACGCCTTCCTCTTGATTTTCAAATCTACAGCGTCTGGGATACAGTTGTGGGAAATAAGTAAATTGTACGTATGATTATTTTTCAAATAATATTTGAGATAATCTGGGATAAGGCATAATTGGTTTTGTGCTACTACTGTATGTGAATCAAACAAAATTGTGAACAGATTTGTGTACATACCACCACGTGAAAGTTGCCATGGCCAAACTGTCTCATCAGAGAGAATGATGTCAAAGACGATTCTTTCTGCATCTGGAACCATACTGTTGTATTTTTCAACGACAGAGCTAAGAATGGCCTTCTCCTCTCTGATTTTGCGCCGAATCCGGGCCCGACCTTTGCTGCCATCGGTGTCTTTGTAAAGGCGCTGGGACCTTCTTTTAATGCTGGCCACCAGCACCTCCATCCTACTGGTCACCGCGTCAAGATCGGCATTCTTTTGGGATGTTGTTGCTGAGAAGAAAAGAAGTGTAAACATTTCACTTACATTTTCATGGCAGTAACTGAAAAGAGCTAAGTCTCAGCGTAACACAGAACGGCACAGGGAAGTCATAAGGATTATCTTAACCTCTTTGCTGCTTTTCTTTTCTTTATACAAAAAAAGCTCCTGGAAGAAGGACAGGTGAGTCTCAATAATCATTTCATATTTATTAGCGTGTATAGGAAGTATGTAACAGGGTACCAAAGAAAATGACAACATAGCCAAGATGGGATCCGCTAACTGCAAGAAATGTCGGAAACACTTTATTTTACGGTGTCCTTGCTACATGAACTTAAAATAGCAATAACAATAAATTACGCATAATTACATGTAACTAACCCTCGACCAAATCCTAATCCTACCCTAATCCTATAGTAAGTACATGTAGTTAATTAATATTACTGCGTACTTAAATGTACAGTATAATTACACTGTAAGAAGGACACCTTAAAATAAAGTATGACCGAAATGTCCAATGTTCCAACTTTTGGACTGTGCACCATTCAGGTACTTTCAGGGTAAATAGAATAACTATTACCTTCTGCCCACTCCTTAATATCAGTGACCCAGCTCTCAACTTCAACCTGTGTCACAGCCAGCTGGATTTTCATACTTTCCAGATCCTGAAGTTGGCTTTCCAGGCGTTTTGTAGCCTTCAAATAACAAAAAAGGAAATGAAATAAAAATGTTATACATACAACAATATACAATAGAAGGTATTTACAATATAAGAAAATAACAGTACTCATCTCTACCTTCTGATATCGGCAGGAAAGTGAAGCAGCCAAGTTATTAAACTTTTGCTGATTCCAGCGCATGGCCATCAGTGTAAGCATGTCTGTACGTCCTGCAAAAAAGAAGAAGAAAAAAAATACACTAATCTGTGTGTACCACTGGCTACAATTTTCTTGTAACACTTTCAATCTAAGTAGTGCAGTGTGTGGTTACCTTACCTGCTTTGGACATGTGCTTCGTGGTCACAGCAATCCTAGAGAGGAAGGCGTTACACTGCTCAACCTCCTCCCCGAGTGTCAATCCGGCCCCTTGCTGGTAAGCTCCACTCCATTTAACCTATTGAAGAAAATAATTAAAAGCTGCCAACATACCTTTGCAGGTCTTTAGGGATGGTTAATGACATGGCAATGTTTCCTTACCTCACATTTAAAATCATGGGCCTTGGCATGAAACACTGAGAGGAATGGTTTCATGGTCAGAAGGTGCTGGAGCTCCGGGCAGCTTTTTGTCACTTTGTTGAGGTAGGGCCAGTACTTGCAGGTTACATCCATGGCAAAAAAGCTTATTGACTTATTTGCCAGCTTGTTCTGCAGGTACAGGGGATAAGCATATATTTCTCCCCTGAACATGTTGAGAGCGCCGAGAAAAACTCCATGTCGACAGACCGCAAGCTCAAGTCCCTCCTCATCAATTTTACTAGACGATCTCTGAGAAGTTTCCCTGGCAGCTGACCATTCCCCTCCACAGACACCTCTTCCAGAGACCTACAACATGGAAAAAGGTTGATATAAATAGTCAAGACTCACCCAAACAATGCCAACTGTAAAATGTTATTGGTGGTGTTTTTAGAGAAATATTATACAACAAGTTTACATGGTTGGTGTTGGAATGAATGTAATCCACAAATCTTTCTACTTCATCATCTTTTGCGATAAAGATGCCATCAAATAAGGCTTGTTCTTCAGATCTAAATGAAAGAAAGGTACACATTGACCTTCAATATGACACAGCAAAGGTTACTTTAACAACACTGCAAATTACAAACACTTTGTAAGTACCTTGCTGCGTTCTTAAAGCGGTAGTGCTTGCGATTTCCATCCACAGAAACAGCAAGCATGTCTGGGGTGCATGCAGGACAGATAAAATGCTCCTCCCTGCTGATCTTATCAACTTCAAATCGAACAGCCTCCCACTCCAAAAAGCTTTTTCTGAAGCTGTCTGCTGTGATCTTCCCAGTCTGTTTCAGAACAGTAAAACATCTCAATATAATTCACAGTTACGTAAACTAAAGTTAATAAGGTCAAAGGTGACACCAAATCCTCCTGCATCGAGCCTCCACAGGCAGCCACTCAGCCCAGTGCATCATTGAAATCTTTTGGCTCTTTGTATGTCATGGACAAAAAACATCATGACCAAAGTCCCCGCAAAAAAAGACAAGTTCCACAGCAAACTCGACTCCCACAGGAAACTTAACCAATGTCTTTGAGTTGATAAATTGCTCCAATACTTTTGTACATTTAGTGCATTAATTTAGATTTTTTTCTGAGTGGTAGTTTTTACACAAAGACCTTGAATCTTAGATGATGTTCTAATAATGTATCGAGTACAGCTGAGCTGAATCACTGTTTTGATTTCATCAACATGGTCCAATTATAATAATCAATGTGTTGATAATGTCACCATAGTTGTTCTGCGATACACATCAATACTAGTACTAGTTGTTAGTTATTCCCATCACTCATACTCACACGGCCAAAGCGGACAGTTCGTTGATCAAGCATTCTTAAGAATGCTTGGCAGGACAGTCCTGGTGCTGCCATCTTCAATTCTTCATAAGAACAAAAAACATCTGTAGCGTACACCGTGGAAAAGTGAAGGGTAGCAGGCCAGTAGTCATTACGGACTAAGTCATCCACTCCAGCACTCCATGTGGCTTTGCATGCCTCACATTTCATCTCAGGCATGCTGAGATCATATCGTCCTGGAAAAATCAGGAAAAGTAGCTTACATTACTATCACCTTTGTAGTACAGACATCTGGCAGTCTTTCTCATTTGTCAAGTGCCTCTTTTGTGAGACAGAAAGCAAAACTGAACATCCCTCCTGCCTTTCCTGGGTCTTTCACAGGCGGGAGATGCACATAAGGTTATAGATGCAGGACTGAAAATCCTGCCCAGCACAGACCACTATAGGGAATGTTTGAATAGAAATAGATCAGGACACATTTACAAAGCCAATAGCACAGCCTTGTTTTTTTTTTTTTCTATTCAAATAGGACAATGAAAAGTGGCAGGAAGCGAGTGGGAGAGCCCTATGGGGTGGAATCAGGTTAAAGTCCAGCCCAGGTCCCTATGGGCACTTTGCCCAGAATGTGATGTGGATGCTAAAGCCACTTGATCTGGAATGTTACTTTAAGTTCATTTTATTCTTACCATTCATTGTAACCACAGCAACAACTTTTCCTGGGTTGACACTCAACGATCCTGGAGAACAACTACATATTTTTTTGGGCATCTCCAACGGCACAATACACACTGAAAGACACAACATATGCAGGGATTAAAGACATGCATCATCCAATGTACTAACTGGGAAGTATTCTGCAATCATTTTCTTTTTTTTTATTAATGATTTGAAAAGCTTTAAAGATAAAAGGTCATTGTGTGTGCACATAGTGTGTTTCAGAGAAAGTACTCAAAACATTCCTGTGAAGCCTATTATACTGAACAGTTATTTAAATAAATTGAGAATGGGACTAGTGCAGCACAATATATAATTGCCCTTTTTCTAAAAGATTAAGAGATTACCATTTCCAATACAATTTTTGAATGTGTATGATTTGATTCAGTTCAATATTCCAAGTGTCTCTTTAATTTGTGCCACCCCTGATAAGTAAGCACAGCCAGTACAAGACTAACACCCACTGACCGACTGAAGTTCACCAATCAGAATTTTTGTCCCCTTCACACACTATGCACACCCACCAACCAGAAGTTGCAGAGCCAAGGAGGATGACGTGAATATAAAAGTCACAAATGATATTTGAAGATTTTACCATTAGGCAGTTGCGTTGAATCATATTGCAATTAGGATTGCAATAATTGTGCAGCCCTAAATAAGACACTCAAAGAAATACAGCTTACCACACTGGGAAAAAGCCCTCTCCACGACACAGGTTGTTGGAGGCAATGGCTGAAAGAATCCAGCTATTGTTGCATCCCTGTTGTGGAACACATGGTTTCGGTGTATACTGACATCACAATCAGCACAGAAGAATGGTTGTGGTCGGCAGTCACGACAACGGACAGCAGCTGGACTGCTGCCACATTGTTGGCAGATCTGAGTGTTCACATTTTGTTGTGCCACCATAGTATTCACCAGACGGGGTCTCTCTTTCTCCCACCTCTCTGAGATGAGACTTTTTCGAGTAGACCAGTCTGAGGAAGCTCGTGGTGGTGCTGGTGCCGTTTCCTGATCATCCAAGTCATCACCCTGTGAGTGGTTTAGCTCTTCAAGGAAAGTCTCTGTTAAAATAGTACATCATATTTAAAAACATGTTGTCGGTTATTCTGTCGCAAAAACGTAATTTAAATTCTAATTATTCGAATCTATAAACATAATAGACACAAAATAAAGAACATACCAACAGTGTCAGGGGGACAGTAGTTAGTTATCTCAAAGCTGTTGTCCAACATCCTAGTATGAGAACCAGTCTTACGACTGTAGCTGTGACTAGCTGTAGCAGAAAATAAAACCCAAATCAACCTTTACAGCATTACAATTCTATAGATTTTGACAAGCTCATTTTATTCCACACAATGATACATACTTTTATTGGCCCGATTTCATTGTCTATACCACTTTGGATGATCATGAGTATGTAATAAAAACCTCATATCTCATACCAGACAAATGACTGATTCATGTATTCAATCCTAAGTGGTAAAACAATCTATATCTCAGTTTTAGATATATGTGAAAAATCACAGGAGTACTCCTTTAAGTAATATGACTGAAAAAAGAAAACTGACCCGTTTGGTTTCGGGATGATCTCGGTCTGTCATAGACAACATTTCCATCACTGTCTCTCTTCAGCCACCTGACAGGTTGATGGCTAGTGGATGGTGCTGCATCCTGGACTGGTTGCTGGCTGGTGGATGATGCTGCCTCCTGGTCTCCCGGCATCTTATTGATGAAATCTTCCAAGATCTGGAGTTCATAATTTAATTTAGAATGTTCAACAAGCTCATCAAGCTCATTAAGGACCTGTTTGAAATTGGAATTGTCACTCATGATGAACAAGGACAAACAAGACAACAACAAAGGGAAAAGGGGGAAGAGCAAAAGAGCAAGAACAACAGAGAACCAGACAGACTAACAACAATTAACTAGACAAACGTGGCTCTTAAAAGTGCCTTTGTTTTTGCTTTGTAACGAAGCTGAGGTTTTGAAGTAAATGATGAAGGGACTAGGGAACCTGTTAAGAGAAGGGAAAGATAATAAATTCAGATTTGAAGATCATACATACAACTACATAAATACTAAATACCTGAAAGGTTTAATAACTTGAGAAATGTTGGTCTAGTTTGCCCATGCTTTGGGCTGTGGTGGGGAGGTCTGTGGGTGTGTACAGTAATATTAGGCCAGAATACTGTAGGGCTGGTTGTTGCCTGCAAACTCACAATTCAATAACTCACTAGTAATGGACTGATCTTGACACTCATGTCTGATATTGATACCAACCATTCAAAATGCCAGTTTGGCTGATAATCAGTGCCATTTTTTAATCTGCTTATGTTATTAATTATACTTGCATTAACAAGGAAACACATTTCTTTAACTTTTTCTCTGTGATTATTTTAATCAAAAAGTTCCCTCAGCAGTCATAGAAGTTTATAACACTAGCTTTTAATTAAAACTGATTTAATTTGCTAATGTGCTTTTTTATTTTCATGTCTATGCTTTCATAGCATAGACAGTTATAAGTTACACTGACTAGCATGTGTATAAATGGGCACAAGCTGGGCAAAGAGCAACGACACACAACCACAAGAAGAATCCCAGCGCAGGCATACATTACAGCTAACACGGTATGCCTCAGTGTGAAAATCTTACATTCCCCTATGATTGTACCTTACATGATAATATGCGACAAAAATGAACTTGAATTAAATTAAGCTAGCTAACTTTGCTAGCCTGCACATTTGGTGCAGAAAGCTATATTTTTTTTATAATGTATTCTATCATTTCTCGTCATAAGAAAGGGCCACCTTACAAATCTAAAGTTTCTGAACACAATTTCTTGTCCTGATCCAACCGTTTTTGATAAGTAAATTAATAAGTAAATTAGTAAATTTGATAAGTAAATTGTATAAGTAATTAATGAACCCTTCTACTTACCGCGTGGAAAATCGCAATGGACCTTGGGATCTCCCAGTCGGTGACGTCAGCGTTATTAATTTAGAGGATTTAGTAAAAATAATAATTTTTAAAAACCGATGAATAGAACACAGTCGTAGCATAGGCTATTCAAATCAACAAACCTCCGATAAAAATACGTTATCCAGCATGCTCTAGATAAAGCAGTGTCTTAATGAAAAGGAAACGTTTAAACGGCAGACTTGCACGCACATTGGAGCGTTAAACTCACCTTTTAATTAAGTTTTACCTGCAGTTGTGCGTTGCTTTTGTCAAACTCACCTCTGAATGCCGCTTTACCTGCAGTTGGGTGTTGTTAAACTCACCGCTGAATGTGGTTGCACACCATAAGCGTTGTTAAACTCACCGCTGATGAACGCGCGAAACTTTTGAGGGCCCTTTGATATCTGATTGCGAGGGTTTTAAAACACCAAACACCAGTTGGAGGGCATTTGAATCGCCCTGGCATAGATTATTTTTTGTAGCGTAGGCTATTCCTTTTTATTTTTACTTATTGTTTTCTCGATCCACAAGGCAGACAACGGGTTGCGGTGTGGTGATCGACCCAAGACGTCAAATTTCAACGCTGCTGAGTTCTATAGAAGTCTATTGGACTGCCCCGCACGTTGAAAAATGAAGCCGAAGGTATACCCCGTGCGTCAAAAATGTGACGCCAGGGTCCCTTGACCATGCGTCAGACATTTGACGAGTAGGGAGTGAGACCGTGTTGCATATGAGGGTTCATCTGGTTGAGGTGGATTGACCACGACATCTAGAAGAGCCTGACCAGGCACCGGAGGACACAGCCGCACAGACACCAGCTTAGTGAGTTGAACTTTCACCTCCGGGTCTAGATTTACCACCTCCATATAACCACCACGAAAACCACACCTTCAAGAAGAAAGACAGACAGGTTTAGAGCTTAACTGTTTACCAGACCTATTTTAGGGCACTACAATTTGTTCAAACCAAATAGACAACATAGACAATATACTTTTATTATTATTCTGGTGGGGAAAGAGTTAAATGTGATTAAAAGTCTTAATTAATCTGTTCAACATATTAAAGGAGTAGTTCACTTTTCAAAAAACTTTTGCTGATAATTTACTCACCCCCATGTCATTCAAGATGTCCATGTCTTTCTTTCTTCAGTCGAAAAGAAATTAAGGTTTTTGATGAAAACATTCCAGGATTTTCACCATATAATGCACATCAGTGGGAACCAAACGGTTCAAGGTCCAAAAGACAGTTTCAGTATAAACTGCAAACTGTTCAAACTCAAAGGGCTTTAAACGATTTCAGACGATGTCTTATCAAGCCAAACGATCACTCATTTAAAAAAACAAAAACAAAGTGTAAGTTTATAAGCTCAAATACTCGCCTTGCTCTGTACTGCGATGCACCTTCGTAAATCTACAGTTTGAACTCGTTCATCAAAGCGAACAAATCTTTTTCCGAGTCAATTTGTTCGTTTCGCTCGTTGAATGAACCAAATGACTCGGAAAAAGATTTGTTCGCTTTGATGAACAAGTTTGAACCGGAGAGTTACAAACATGCGTCACAGAACAGAGCATTTTAGCTTATAAAGCTTAAACTTTGTTATTTATTTATTAAATGAGCGATCGTTTCGCTTGATAAGACCCTTATTCATCATCTGGAATCGTTTAAAGCCTTTTGAACAGTTTTCAGTTTGTACTGAAAGTGTCTTTTGGACCTTGTACCGTTTGGTTCCCACTGAAGTGAATTTTTATGGAGAAAAATGCTGGAATGTTTTCATCAAAAACCTTAATTTCTTTTCGACTGAAGTAAGAAAGACATGGACATCTTGGATGACATGGGGGTGAGTAAATTATCAGCAAAAGTTTTTTGAAGAGTGAACTATTCCTTTAAGCGATCAAGTCTCTTTAGACATCTTGAACCAATTTGAAGTGTCACCTTTTGGTGTGATAGCTTTAGCTTTCAATGGAAAGACAGAAATCTCAGGCTTTAAAATATCTTATTTTGTGTATTAAAGAGAAATGAAAGACATGAGGGTGAGTAATGACAGCATTTTTACACCTTTTTACTAAACCTTTAAGAACGAATAATTATTAGGAAGATCAGATTCATTAAATTCTACAATATTATCAATGGAATTCCAAAAAACCTGCAGATCATTTGCACTTCTCTTGTTTTGGACACTCACTCTCCCATGTAGCACTTTGACGTCGAGTGAAACGAAGCTAGTTCCACTTTCTCAGAGTATTCTGGACCCATTTCAAACAGTACCTTCTTAAAGGAGTGAAACTTACACCCGTCTGCATAAACATTGTCCTGATAGACCTGGATAATGCAGGGCATATTGAAAACATTATCATTGTGTGATATATATATTTAAAAAGGCATATGTATAGACCTATCATACAAATCACCTCGTCAGACATGAGGAAAAGGTTTTCTGTCGCAGCAAATCGGATCACATCTTCAATGCACTGCCGACTTTGCACTTGACCTGTGGAGTAAAGGGAAGCAGCGTTGCCAGATTATTTTTCCAGGCCAATGATTGTTCATAACCTTCACCAATGCAACAATATTTTTTAAGGAAATAAGTACAAATACACTTTTATATATACTTCTTATTTATACTCAGCCAGGGTGATTCTCATTTCTTAAATCGTGCATCATTTCATTTTTAGCTCCAAAAATGCAAGTGAGGGATGCAAGGAAAAGAAACAAGGAATCAGTGAAAGGTGTATTTGTTATTTAATTTTTTTTCTGAATTTGCCTCCAATTTCAGGCATTTGTGTTTCGACAAAAATAGACCATTTCCTCACTTCACAACTGATACATCCTTCATCATGGTGATATGTTTCCAGGTCATGGACTTGAAGATGAAGGAGTCAGGAAAGAGGATGGACAATTTGAAGGGAATGAGAAGCACCCACAGTAATATAATAAAAATACAGTAATGGCCAAAAGTGATATTTATTTTTAATGATCCAATAAGATGAGGTAAAATATATATCAAGTAACCCCAAACTGGCCACCACAATAAAAGCTGATAGGTTTGTCGTCACACCTGTGGGGTTGCCAGGATTAATAATGCACAGTGCACGAGGGTTGCAGTGTTTTTTTGCTTCCTGCAGGGCACGCCGTAACTCATTGATGTCCAAACTCCAGCAGTTGTCTTCATCCAAATAGTAACTGATTTGCACAGCACCCAACTCAGCCAGAGCAGCGGAGTACAGTGGGTACTGAGGGATTGATATCATCACTCCCGTACGAGACTTTCCATCCCCTGACACTAGTAACTTAAGCATGGTCTGACACAGACAAAAACAGGTATTTAAAACTAATTCTGATATTGAATTCTCAATCAAAAATATGAATGATACGAAAAAGTGAATAAATATGAATAAAACTTTGTGTAGATTTCAGCACAAAGTACTTTTTTAAAGGTAGCATATGCACAAAGTTTTCAAAAAGTTAACACCAGAATTTATGCAAATTCCCTTTATAAATCAGTGTTCATGAACATGCATATACACATTAGCCTTAAGCCCCACACTGTCTGGTTACACTATGAAATAACCATACACATGGAGCTGACAATGCCTTTTTTAATATCCATGGCCTAATTTGCATTTGATACCATATTTCCATGCAGATATTTAAACAAGACATGTTATCTGTGTCTAATTTTTTTAAATGAATGTTATATTCAGCTGTGTTTTGTCTTTACTTGTTGTCTGTTTGTTGTATCTGCTTACCACGATCGCATCACTGGCTCCTGTTGATAGGTAAATGTTGTCAGGGTCACATGCGATTCCTCCATCTCGCCGTTCAATATAGCGAGCGACGTCCTGCCGAATCATTT